AATCATTAGATAGACTAAAACAGAAACTTGATGTGAAATTAATGAGAAGCTCATTGTGTTATCACTATAAAGATACAAAAAACACGAACGTAATTTTATATTGGAATTAAATAACATAATTTTCAAATAGAATCGAAAATTTTTATAAAATAATTGTTTTCATGACTTATGACGTTGGTTTATTAATTGTTTATGAGCTTGTAAGCACTATAACTTTTGAAAAATACAATTTATTAACAAAATTTTTTTTTCAATTCCTTTATATGGTCACTGTGAAGTGCCCTTTTAAAAATCTTAGCTCAATATTATTTTGTTTGATTATAATTAATATATTTCGGGCGCTCATACTCAATTTTCAATCCGTTTAGCCATATTACTTATTTTTCGTTATATACATTTATTTAACGAGTGAATGCAACGGAAATTATACTTCTATTGTACTCTCGACTGTTGATCGAAATCACCAGAAGGTGGCGTGGTAGTATACTTCTACTAGAATGTTTATCGAGATATACAAAGATTATTGATTTTTAACTTGACCGATAATTTTAGTCAAAAACGTGAACTACTACCACAAATATTAGATTTTTCTCCAACAATTTATAATAACAAGGAAAACAATCGTGACTCGATCGGACACTGTGCGTCCAGTCTCCGCAGGGGTTCTTGTCCAAAACGGAGAACGATAATGTGATGCTAGTGAGAGGACTAGGTAAGAACGGACAAAAGATAAGACAAAAAAGACAAAGAGGACCGAGAGAGAAATAAATAAAAAGGCATGAGAAATAAGAAATAAAGAAGACTGGCGACTATCGGTCCCCTATCGTCTTGCTCATCTCTCTTTAGCAAACTGGACGTTGCAATGCTGCATTGAAGGTTCAGAGCCACATATAAACTCAACCCTAACTGCTTTACAACGATCGTTTGTACCGATTTGTTAAACAACAGTCTAGAGACACGCCGACATACTATACCTGCTCGTACTCTGCTGATCATCTTTGTTCCCCAATTCTGCTGTAATATGTTTACAATTTTTAGATAAACTATTTATTTTACTTGTTAAAAATATTTAATTTAAAATAACAAATGGAAAGCCAGTATAAATATTGAGAGGAGTGAAATTGCTACCGAGTATACACAGAATTTAATTATCTCTCTGTCGCTAATGATCTCCGTGATAAATAACAATTTGCTTCGATTTATTGACAACATTCTTATATGCAACTCTCAATTGTGATTGCTATTCATTAATGAGTGTTTATTTTTTGACACTGTACAAATCATTTGAATCGAAAAAAATTTACTTCTTTATTTTCGTCTGTTGAAAATAGAGCCCGCAAAAGATATATTTTTTTTAACAATGAATAATTAAATAATTATTCGAATATATATAGAAAAAAAAATGTTTCAATTAATTAGAATTATAATAAAAAAGTTTAGGCTTTATAGGTAATCAATTCAGCGATAAATTTTATTGAATCGTTATCGAAATAGACTGTTAAAAAATTTTTGCTTAATTTTGAGAATATTAAAATATTGAAGCATTATTATAATTTTGTGAAATTAACTTGCTCGTGTATTATTTATTATATTATTTTTGAGTCTATTTAATAGTCGGGACTTGTCGGCTATTAAAACCAAAAATTGTCGACACCTTATGTGAACGAAACGCCTATATACATAATACATACGAATGTTATAGGTATATAGTTAACCTCCTCAGGGTTCCATCAGATTCTCTTTTCTCAGTCTGATCATCTTCGCGTCTTGTTGGCGCCTCATTTATATTATACGCTCTTGGATCTCATAAAAAATGAATGATCGTATAATATGCTAGCGGAATGTTTATGATTTTGTAATTAAAAATATTTTTTCAACAGATTGAGATTGGGTTACGAGTCATTGATAGGATCTTGTGAACTTGAAAATTAATCAAGAAAATTATAGCATTTTTTCGTAATAATAATAATAATAATAATACATCTGAGGTTAATTAGATTACATCCCTCATGGTACATTTTATATTTTCGCAAGATTTCCGCAATAAGTAACCTCATTATTTTTATTTATTTATAAATAGTAATTGATTAAACAAAAAAACAATAATAAATGCGTCCTACTTTTATTTCGGAATTTAACTCTCCTGTAGTGAGACGATTTAGCGATCATACGCCATCTGTCGGATATTTTCTGAACTATCTTTGGTCGAAAAATTATATATAGTTATATATCACCATATCAAGACTGATATCTACATATCTACATATCAAAAATTATATATGAACATATCAGACAATTTTTTTACAAGAAGTTCAAAAATTTTTTCTTTTGAATCAAATTAATTTTTTTTCTGCGACTGCTTCAGTAAAAATTAATTCTTTTAATCTAGTTGATTATTTCAGTTAATTAAATCAATTACTTATCCGATTAATCTGAAAATTAAAAATTTGCTTAAGCCTGTTCAGTAATAAATCATTTAAAAAAATTTTTAAATGTTATTAAAACCTATCAATATATTTCCATTTAAAATTACTTAGTGCTTGAAATAAAAATTTACAAAATATGAAGCCTTTTGATAAAGTATAAAATTTAAGTAAAGAATATATTAGAAGATAGACGGTAAGGGTAGGGGGTACTCCTGTGGCGAGTGTCGAGTAAAAAGGTAAATCTGGAGGATGTTTTTGCTGGTGCGGATAATCCGGCTTAGAATCCTCTCGAGAGTCCACCGAAGCATAAATGAGAACTTGGCTAGCGACATGATTATACGTATACATGCTCCCTTTTTCGGTCTTTTGCCCTCTCATCATATCTCTCGACTGTCACTACACGTATTTCGCGCGACTCTTCGCGCCGCTATTCAAACTTAAACTCGACCAACAGTGGGCAGATGCTCCTGAAAATCTCTCTATTGAGTCTAACCAAAAGTAAATGCTCTACCTTGCGGCGGCACTATTTCCTTCATTTTCCGGTTGAATTTTTATTTCCTGGATTACTTTCAAAAAGATCCGCTCTTTGTTGGATCTACGGCAATGTAAATCTACGAAATGTCTATACATGATACTTCTCCCTTGAAATCAGGTTGCGAGTATGTAAAATAATTATTAAAAAAAAATAATAAGAACAACTCACTTAAAAAAAAAAAGCAAACTGACGGTGGATCTCAATGTCTCATATACATAAAAATGTACGCGACTGATTTGTTGAGCGTAAAGGGTGGTCTTATACTTGGAATTAATGTCAGACGCACCCTACTTTACCAATGAATTCTGTACGTCGCCTGGGCAATTTTATTATCTCGTTACCTTCGATTCTTTTTCTGTCTTCTTCACTTGTCATTCTTTCTTTATTTTATTTACTTTATTTGTTGTTGCCATACTTTCTATCTGTCGGGCTTGTCACCGGTTGCTTAGCATTTTAGTCTTCACTAATACAACTTTAGACTCGAAGAAACGCGACATGGATTCTCGGGACACAGGGTGAGCCAAGATGGCTGCCGTCGGACTGGTTAACTAGTCGGACATATCAATTGATATTGTAATGGACACACCTAATTGTACAACCGAAAATGTTTTGCTGTAAATAATTAATTTGGGTTTTAAAATAATATTGACTGCAAGTTTAGAAAACACCCATAAAAAAATTTGATAAAAACTTGACATTTATGAAGTTACATTAGTAATTTTACTAAAGAGATTCAATCCACTCATTATTTACTAAGCAAATAAGTGATTTACCTAAAAAACACAATATGCTCATTAATACTTAACACAATTATTTTTCTCACATTAAGCAATACTGAATTTCAGATCTTAAATGTCAATTAGTTCTAGAGTTAATTCAGTTTTAAAAAACACGCTATACACAGTAGAAAATTTTTCGTCATTGTGTAAAGTGTAATAATGTTTGTGTAGAATTTAACATTTTAGTATGTTGATTCAACACAGATTGTGTAAAAAAAGTCATCAACACAAATTTTTGTGTTAAATTTGACGAAAAAATTTTTACTGTGTAGTGATAAATTAATTTTTAACAAATTTGGTAGAAATCTATCTATTGCATTGGTGCTCATGACGGAATTTTTGATAAATTTCGCTCTTTTTTCCGACTTGGTTCATCTAATTGTTTTTTAAGATAAAAAAATATCTATCTTTCCATGTATTTGATAAAATTTTGCTATTACATTCAATTACATTATAATTTAATGCAAAGTGAGTATAGATAAATTGTGAGAAAAAAACCTTTAAAATAATTATTTATCTACTGAAATGAGAATTATTCACTTATACGGCTGTCCCATATTAAAACATAAGAACTGCAAAATTTTTAGTCCTGTTTTTTTTGTATTGTTGGATTTTTTACTACTTTATAAGAACACAATTTAATGTATCTTTTCTTTAAAATTTGATCATTAATAAATTTACTTTATGTATAATTCTATTAACCCTGTTAATGGCGCAAGCTGTTGGGTTTTTTCAATAAATAAATAAATACATATTTCATTAGGTCTAAATCAAATTTTTTATTAATCAAAGGTGTTATTATTTTTCTTATGCAAGGTAAATTTGAGAAAATTGAAGAAATGTTATTTACTGCGTTCTGAAGTGAAACAGCTTATTATACTCTATACCATTAATTGAAATTACACAATTGGTCATTAAAAAAAAGATGTGTTTTATCATACATCACTACACTTATACTTAATAGTTTTAGTGCTTACTTACAGATTAAGATTTATAACACCAACAAAACAATGATTATGATTATAAATGTTAATATATCTTTTAATCTTTTAAAGTAGCATGTGTTATACTAAAGCGATGAATTATATTGTGATTAAACAAACGTGACACCTTTTGATTAAATAACCAACACATTGATACAATAATGACTGTATAATAACTAATATATAATTAATGTAAAGTATATAATTAAAGAATAATGTAAAAATATATAAGGCATTCTAATCTGTATGTAAATATGTTGATCCGGGGTCTAGGCAGATGTTTCCACAAATGAAGTTCCGAGTTTCCGGTTTGGATGCCAAGGCCAAATACATCTTACTTCTTGATATTGTTGCAGCCGATGACTACAGATATAAATTCCACAACAGGTAGACAATTTGCTGGTGAAACAAATAAAATATAAATTACTTCATTGCCTTTTGGGTGCTATAAATTTACCAGCATATTCGTCCACCGATATAAATATATAAATAGTTTATAAACAAATGTAAAAAACAAAAAGTGGACGAAAGAAATCAACTAATTGGCAATGTTGTTTTCTTGCAATTGCAAATTGTTCGCAGACGCATGTTTCCCGCTTATAAAGTGAGGGTGTCCGGTTTAGACAAACGAGCTAGCTACATACTTCTGATGGACATCGCGGCATCCGATGACTGCCGATATAAATTTCACAACAGGTGATTATCCGGATGACTCATTTTTTCCTCTAGTCATCAAAATTTATCGAACTTTTAGTTATTAATCCCTTGCGTTGTAAACGTGGAGCGTGCGCTGCGAACAATCCCTCATACTCGTCGAAAATAATTATTTTCTATTAACCAAAAAATATTCTGATGCTTTTACTTAATTGGTATCATCAATAAGCAAGCAAGGTATACAATATACTTTTTTAAAAATATTTTTTTAATTGATCAGCACCAGTTACCTGTTTTATGGTCCTACACGTGTTTATAATTAAATTTATAATACTAATGTAAGTTATAAGGAACTATGGAAGATCATTTTTTCGACTGGTATGGGGATCGCAAGCTCTGAATCGACGATGGAGATGAAGAAAAATTAGCAATTGTTAATAATTATTATTTCTTTTTATAACCAATATAATAAAATTTTAATTAGTTTGATTAATTATAAATTCTCAATATTTTCAGACAATGTTTTCATCTCCATCGCGATTAGCATCTGTATTGATAGTACTTTGTTATAAGTTTCAAGTGTTTTAAAAACACACTTTTAATAAAAAACATTGAGAAGTTTTTAAATAGAATGTTACAATTAATTACGCCTTTAAAAGTCAAATTACTTTGAATTACTTGTGATTTTTTTAAGAAATTATTTTAACACAATTACACTCAAAATTTTTAGAAAAAAAAACTTCTCAATAAATAATTCTCAAAACTGATTAAAAACAAAGGAAGAGTTTAAAATCCAAGGAAACAATTTTTATAAAATTGAGATAAATTCACTCTATCCGTATTCAATGAATTCAAGAGAACAAGATAATATTAAAGGTGTATTTAAAACCTTTTGCAAGTTCTCACGGAAAGATTACCACAATCTCATTGACAGTGAATTTTCCCCAGCATAAGCCTCCCTTTGATTTTAATCTCCTCAAACATAAAAAGCATGATAAAAAAAACTCTTAAAACATGATAACTAAAGGAAAACTCTTCATTAAATTGTCGATAACAGTAGGTGGATGGTGGCCGGAAAAGCGGACCCCGAAATGCCGAAGAGGATGTACATACACCCGGACTCGCCAAGCAGCGGTGAGCAGTGGATGCAGAAAGTCGTGAGCTTCCATAAACTGAAGTTAACCAACAACATGAGCGACAAGCACGGCTATGTAAGTACTGTACGTAACGCAAACCAACCAATCACTTACTACTAGCATTAAGTAATCCCTAAGAGAATAATTTCCCCGAGCAACAATAACCCAAACCAATAGTAATAGTAACCTACTAGCCTACCTTCTGCTCCAGCGCATGATAATTGCTTAGTCGGATTAAATATCACCAGAATAACTTCACCAACAACCAGAAAGAACCGAATTCGTTTGAATCGAGCATCTAGAACAAATCCAGATTAAGTTATTAGGGTTAAATTAAGTAAGAGGCTTGACAATCCTCTTCCGTTCTCACATCCGTTTCAATTGGCTCATTTCTTTCTTTCTTTCTATCTATCTCTTTCTCTTTATTTTCATGTCTTACCGCTTAGTAAGTAAGAAATCGGAATTTTAACGTTATTCTGGGGTAGTTCTATCAAGAGACAGCCACCACCCGGGTTAACATGAGCCTCCCTCACCGACGTCCCCGCGAATCCCTTTGCCGGTTTGTCGGCACCCTTTGAATCATCTTGCATCGCTGGCTCGTGAAATCTAGTCCTCCTTTGGTGAACCTCGATGTCAATGGCTGCTGGCTGGTGGATGCGTGCCAGCCGACCTTTGTCAGGCCACTTTTTCTCAGCCTCACTAGCTGCCCGTCTTATTCCTTTCTCTTTCTCGTCCTTATTTTTTTTCGTAAACCTCTGCTTCTCTTTACCTCTTCCTCATCTTACTTTTTTCCTTCACCAGGTTACGTTGTTGTGGATTTTTTTCCGCCAAAGACAGACCCGCTCTTGTGCATGATTCTTCCTTCTCATTCTCTCCCATCAGTCTCCCATCCAATCTTTTGCTCTTTCATTCGTCAAGCTTCACCTACATTCTACATTGCGTACAGACTACAGCCAGAATGTAGAATGTAGAATGTAGGATAGCCAAAAAAAGCCTTCTTTCAGGAGACTCTTGTAAGACTTATGATCCTTTGACATCCAGATTGTTCACAGACCCATAAAACTTCAAATGAACCCTTCTACTTCTTATTCTCTGGACTATATTATACGGCTAATAGAGACACTTCACCTGGTCCCTGTTGTGATGATCTCTAAGGAAGGGAATCGGCATTAGACTCTTACATTAGACTCCATACACCTATTTAGTTCGGGCTAATGCTTATCCTTTATCCGTTAGAGCTTCGAGGTTCTTCCATCTGATATAGTCAAGATCAGGATATGGTTCTTCAGGTCTTATTAAGCTTGACTTTGTTCATAGATACCTGGATAGCTAAATTTACTTGATTTAAGAGGAAAAATTTGGATTGAAAAAATTATTTTAAGGAATTTCTTTGCCTTGAATCAAACGAAACAAATCTTTAATAAAGAAAAATTTTCTTAAATAACTAACAGAATTTTCTTTAAAATATTTTTTACTTGATTCAAACTCTTTGAAATGAACTTTTGGTTCAAGATTTTTTGTCTTGAATCTACTTAATTTTTTTGTTAATGTACTTTTGATTGTACTCATTATTTAAATTTCGAAACTTTTGCTAATTGCTAAAAAAAATTTAGCAAAAGTAAATATTCGTAAAAAATATAAATTTTATTTTTTTCTACTTAATATTTTTTTAAATATCAGACAAGTTTTTTGCATTTTGTCCAGTTAACAGTTTATTAATAATTAAAAAAATGTCATAGTAATTTTTAAAAAATTTTAATCAGTCATTTTCATTCATCTTCAGTTAGAGTAATTAAAATTTTTTAAAAATTCCGGGTAGTATTCTTTGTTTTAAGGAACTAATTTTGAAATTTTGTTCTCTTAATAAGGCTCTATAAGTACAGTTATCTAATTAGGCTTTAAGACTTTTAAATTTAAGAGAAAATTGATAATCTTTCACGGTTATAATTAAAATAGCTTCAAGACTGAGCAAGTGAAGAAATTTGAAGCAACAAGATTAAAAATAAAATTCTTCAAGAAACAAGAAAAAAATAATTGGAAACATAAAGAGATAATTAAGGGTGTTATATATGTGAGTGGGTAAAAAAAATAGTGATCGTAGCTAATGGAAAGACAATAATTGCCCTTGAAAGACTAAGCAGAAGATGAGAAAAGAAGCTGATGCACAAAAGTATTAGGAGAAGAGTAAATAGGTTTTAAATGTTGGGATTTCCCATCGGAGAATTAGAGCAAAAGTGGCGCCTACGCTTTTATTTTATCTGTTATTATGCCTAGAAGAAAATACCTGTAACTAAAAAGAAGCCACAATAATATGTGGTAACGTTTTAAACGGAAGCAGCTGTCGTATTTCACTCTCTCATCTTTTATGCTCCTGTGAATCTTCTAACTGGCCTTATTCACCTTTACTTATCCCTTATGTCGGCGTCCTTTTGCTTCGTTTCTTTAAAGTATCTATTTGTCATTCTCAAACACATCATCACCACTGTTTGTGTCCCCGAATAAGTGGATGGGCGACCACATTCTCATAAACGCACTGAGCAGAGAATCTTCTAATAAAGACAAGAGACACAACACTCTTTCAAAACATTTTTCAGAAAAAAAAATAAAGAAAAAAATTACATTGTTTACATTGCTTGATATATTTTGCGCCAATGTTTGACTCGAACATGGAGATACACGGAAAAAAAACTTGTTTGGAGTGTTTTGAGTCCACAGATAAACTTGAGATGGCTTCCATCGGTAATGTTCAGATTGTTGATAATTACTGAAAATTATTTATTAGTTCAATAGCTAATGTTATGAATACTTTTTCATTACCCGAGAAAAAATATTTATATATAAATTGGTTATATGTGATTATATATGAAAAATGGCCAAATATAATCAATGATGATTTTTTAATGGAGTTAGATATTTATCAATTACATTGAACTTTATGTAACTCCAAATTTATAATTAAGAAAATTAAAAAAAGTAAAAATTTATGAAAAAAAAAAATTTGAGTTCTTCATAATTGATCATTTAGGAAAAAATTCAAAATTTAATTTCTTTTCAAAAAGTTTCTCAGTGATTAAAGGTTGACTAAAAAACCTGATTCAAGAAAAATTTGAACCAATAAAATTTTTAACTAACAATAATATCGTTTTCTTTTACGAACTTGATTTTTTTGGTTCAAAGTAGTTTATTTGTTCAACATTTAACCATCTAAAGCCAAAAACATTTAATCTACCTTACAGAAACAAAATCTTCGCTTCAGAAAATTCTAAAAAGAACCTCAGATTTGTTTGATGATAAGAAAAGTAGCAAAAATCACAGAATTTTTTTACTTTTGTGTTTGGTTTCATCAAATCAAAATTTAATTTGAAAAACGCATGTGTTCATATAAAAGATTTAAGAAACCTCAAAGCACACCCAAATAACGCATTATTCATCAGGTAACATGTGTAACCTTACGGTGAGAAAATAAATATTCAAGTGTGAAAGAACAACTTAACAATAGAATGATGAATAAGATTGAAAGAAACCGAAAGAGTTTTTTGAATATTCGTGCACGCAAAATGGATGTAGCGGTCACCCGCAAAAAATTCCAAATAAAAGCTCATACATGTTACAAAGTTGCTTAAAAGATACCTCAATTTCCCATTGAGATACTTAGTGTCTCAGTAACCAGTAGTATAAGCAGCAACATTATATACATATAATATAAAAATGAAAATAAATATATACGATAAATCATGAAATACATATCGGTTCCACTTGATATATGTAATACCCTTACGTATGCACTTCGCGTGGGCACGAGGGTACTCGTCTTGCTTTATTACGTAAAATCGCGTGCCTTAGAGAAGGAGAACCGGCACCGAGACAGTAGGGAGCCATTTTGGCTGACGCTCTCTAGAGTTTTCTTTGACGCGTTCGAACTACTATGTACTATATATTATATGCGATACACGATGATGGGCATCAAAGTGTGTTTGTGCGCATCCAAGAGAAACGCCGATAGCTCCTATCCCTTATATAGCTTTACACCACGTAGTGATTTGCGTCTGCGCGTTGTTATCACTTGGATGTTCCTGCGCGTATTGTTTCTTACTGCTTATGTCTCAATATATTTATAACTATAGGCTAGAGTGCATAGACTCGGAATATTAAATATCAAATTACAGACACTGTAATAGTGATATTTAAGCTAATAATAACTAAGCTGATTATCAGTATCAGCAAGAATAGCCTTTATTGCTGATACTGTAACATACTGAGAAATTTCCCGTAAACATTTTCGGTTATATAGACAAATAATCTATTTACATCTACTAAAAACGCTCCTAAATTGACTAATGAAGATTGTCATCGAAAAGAATTGTTTAGGAGATTTATGACATTAATATTTTTATTGTTTATGGGCTTGTAAACACGATAATTTTTGAAAAATACAATTTTTTAACTAATTTTTTTTTTTCAATTCCTTTATATGGTCACTCTGAAGTACCCTTTTGAAAATATTAGCTCAATATTAATTTGCATGATTATAATTAATATATTTCGGCGGCCAAACTCAATGTTCTATCCTTCGATCAGCCATATTACTTGTTTTTCTTCATATACATTTATTTAACGAGTGAATACAGCTGAAATTATACTTATATTGTACTCTTGAGTGTTGATCGAAATCACCAGAAGGTGGCGTGGTAGTATACTTCTACTAGAGTGTATAGTTCCTCTCAAGAAAAGGCGGGCTGTTTAAAACGAAACTTTCGAAAATAGAAATTTAAAAAATTCTATTGCGTTTGCTGACACTTAAAATTTTACATTAACTTTATAAATTTAATTTATATTTAAAGAATTAAATTAGAGTTCTATAATATTTGTACAAACTCTTTTCACGCTGCATTATAATCTAAGATCTAATTTTGCTTTGTTTTCTTTTTAATCAAGCTTCTGAAGATTTGTTAAATTATAGATTTTAAATTTAGCAATCAAGTATATTAATACGAATAATTTTAAAAATTTTTTCAAGCAAAATATCACTAAAGACAGTTGAAATTTTATTCACCCACTGATGAAATATTTTCGAGTATATAATTATGTAATTTTGATTTTAATTCAATAAAAATATAGTT